GGTCTGGACCATTCGGCCAGATCTTCAGGCCCGACAACTTCGTGTTCGGTATGTAGTCATGATCAGTGGGGACTGGCTCAATGAGTCTTCTTCCTGAACACTGTGGAAAACAGAGTGTTTTTTTTTTTAAAGATTTTTATTGGGGAATTGGGGGATGGGGAACAAACAAGTTGCTGTCCTTTTGTTCTTCAGTCTAGTTGCGGAGGACGTTGCTTCACTGGCCCAAGTTGGCACCATCATTGCGCTCTTCCCGGGCGAGGCAGATCAGTCGCTAGCTTCTGGAGAGCCGCTCATGCTGGCTACTGGCTGCTGGCTACACATAGTAGCCCATGGCAACCCACTGCCACAGGGGCTGTAGCCTACGCGGTTGCCAGTGACTCACAGCAGCTCAGCTCCAGGTTGAGCTGTTGTTCAGCATCTTAGCTGTGGAGGGCAGTGTCACTGGCCCTCATATGTGGAATCCAAACTGGGGCTCTCTGGCGTACCAAGCCAGCTCTTAACCAACACGCCATTCGGCTGGCCCAAAACAGAGTTCTTAATGTTGAATGCCAAGGTGAACACTGCGTGACCACAGACAGCCCTGAGTCCTGATCTAACTCCACCTAGTCCACAGGCAGTAATTCTACGGACAGCTCGAAGGTCAGTGTCAGCCTGCAGAGGGCTGCTATAGCCCTCCTACTACAGAGCAGCCTGTGAAGGGTAAAGAATAAAGACAAGGAAAAAGCTTCAAACAGGAGTTAATAGGCTACTGGTAATTTCAGAGGACCAGTGACAACAAGTAACCACTTCAAGAAGCAAAGGCCAAAGGCACAGGTTATGACCGGAAGTGAGACAGCTGCTTAGAGCCCGTGTTCTCTTCTGATCTCACTGTGCCCTTGCCCTTGCCTGTCAGTTGCACATACTGTAAGTATTGGGTTGTCGGAAAAGGCATGACGTATTTTTTTTCTATGTTTTTCGTTGAAAAAATGTGTCATGACTTTTCCAACAACCCAATATATGAATACTGAATGCAGATCTGTGCACACTGGCCGTGAGCATGGTGCCCTTTCCCCAGTACAGGCCCTGACAGTGTCTGAGCTCTTCCAGTAGATAAAATGTCCTTACCTATACCCCCAAATGCTAGCAGCAGAAGGACAGGAAGGGAAAAATGGTTCTTAGCAGCTCCACAAAGAACCAGGACAGCTTTGTAGGAGTCACCAGTATGATGTGGCTGCTCAGAAGCTGCCATGGTCAGAACTGCATTCATTATAGCTCTTAATTAAAAACAACCCTACTGTGGGTGAAAAGGGGAAAGGATTGAAATATACAAATTGCCAGTCATAAAAACAGTCATGCGGATGTACAGTCATTAGGGAATATAGTCAATAATATTATAATAACTATGTATGGTGTCAGATAGTTACTAAACTTATAAGGGTGATCTTTTTGTTAGTTTTATAAGTGTCTAATCACTATGATCTCTATGTTGTCACTTGAAACTAATATAATATTATATGTCAACAGTAATTGAAAAGTTTTTTTAAAGAAAAAGGAGAAAAGAAAAGTATAACTCGATTAGTTCTGAATCCCGTGCCTCCCTAGATTATGAAGGACTCAAATCCTGTTTCATTGGGTGGAGGTGGGAAACCCAGGAAGGGACAGGAAATGTTTAGCTGGTACAGGTATCTGAAAAGTATGGAGAAGACAGGCATCATCAGCTGAGGAGCCAAACCAGGACCAAGAGCTAAATGGCATGGGTCAATAGATGTGGAAAAACTTTCTAATGAACGTCTTTGTGGCGGACACTGTTGGTACCTGCCTATGTTCCTTTGATACTCACTCTTCCCAGACTCCCTACTGCATGTCCTACCTGTATCATCGCTTTGCAAGGAGAACCCATTCAAGGACAGGCTGAAGGCTGATAGTCCAGCTTCCTAACTTTCAGGGGGACTCTGAGTGACGGTCCACCTCATCTCTTACAGACCCACCAGCATGGAGCCCTGTGCCCTCAGAAGTAATCTGCTCACAGATGCAGCCTGCTGGCTTCCTTCCCTCTCTCAGCTCAGTTCCTTACTCCTCTCCTGCTGCTTCTTGAGATCAGCTGGCTAAAAAACTTCCACTCAATCCTTGTCTCAGGTCTGCTTCTGGAGTCCGACCTAGGACACTCACCAAAGAGGAGACGGTATAGTAGTTTTCTATTGTTGTGTAACAAGTTACCACAAATTCAGTGGCTTAAAACATCACAATCACCTAACAGTGTCCGTGGTCAAGAGTCTGGTGTGATGGGTTCTCTGCTCAGGGCCTCACAAGGCTGACCACGCTGAGCTGCTCCATCTGGAGTACAGGGCCCTCTTCCATGCCTCTCAGGCAGTTGGCAGAATCCAGCTCTCTGCAGTCGCAGGTCTGCGGTCCCTGTTTCCTTGCTGGCTGTTGACCAGACACTGTTCTCCACTCCTAGAGGCTGCCTGCCGTTACCTGCCACATGGCCCTCTGCACGAATGGCAGTTGCCCCTTCAAAGCCAGCGGGAGGGTATCTCTACTGCTTGGAAACTCTGACCTTCTCTTCTACCACTAGCTGAAGAAAATTATCTGCTTTAAAGAGGCTCATGTGATTTGGGAAGGTTCACCTGAATAATCTCCCTATTTTAAGGTCAACTGATTTGGGACTTCAATTACATCAGTAAAATCCCTTCACAGAAGCACCTCGATTAGTGTTTGATTGGATAATGGGGAAAAAGTGTGTGCACTCCAGAGCCAGTTGGCTCTTGGAGCTGTCTTAGAATTCTGCCAACCACCAACGGGCAGTTAGGGGAGCGGAAAGAACATAGTCTTTGGGACATCTTGTTTCAACATCTGACCTTGTGTTCATAGAGTAAGTGACTTTTCTACTTCCTAGTTGTATGGTGTTGGGCAAGCATTTTTCCAGAAAATGGTGGTCATCGTACTTATTTCAGAGGATTATTGTGAGCATTAAATGGAATAACTTATGTAAAGTACTTGTCATAAGATGGTGCAACTTTTTGTGCTGCCATGAGCATTCTAGTAAGAAAGTTGTTCAAGGAAGGGCTATATGACTTCTTGTCAGGAACTCTGCAAGGGGAAACCAAGACAGATTAATTCTGGAGTATTTATTAATTTTAGAATATATGATTTTCAGGTCCCTTTTGACCACAGAAGTCTATGGCTGTATGTGAATATTCTTGGAAGAGTTAATATACTTACTTATCAGAATAAGTCTTAATTGGGGGCCGGCCGAGTGGCTCAGTTGGTTAAGAGCTCACTCAAGAGTTTGAGCTCTGAGTAACAACGGTTTGATTCCTGGCCTGAGCTGAGCAGCCGCTGAGCTGCCAACAGGTGGCAGAATGGCTCAGCTTAAAAAAAAAAAAAGAAGAAGAATAAGTCTTAATTGATTAGTATTAAATTATTTCCTCGGTACAGATTTTCATAAGGGGGTGGAGCCTGTGTGCTCAAATTGGGGGAAGAGTAGGAAGAGGTGGGAAAAAGGATCAAAAAGGAAACTTAACCACCTTTACAATTTCACTTACGTTAAGTTCCGATTTAGTGAGTTAAATTTGCAACTGTAGCTACAATGGAAATTTCTGTCTTAGTCTGGCTCGTAGTAGCAACCTAAGATTTCCTGAGGCAGCCCTGCAGAGCAGAGTGGTCCCCTTCTAACTTACTGCTGACATGTGCTTCCTAGTTTTCTTGTCTTGCTTTTTCATAACTTCCTTTTAGCCCAGATCTAAGATTGGACAGCAGGTTCTGATACTGGCATTAATCTCTGGTCAGGCTTGACAGCTCATTTGTTGACTCAGCTCCTGATCTTGTTGGGCCTCTGTCCTCCCTTACTCTTCCTGCACCCAACCTATGGACAGCCTCAGCCTCTGCACAATTTTCAGCTTCATTTCTCTAGTGTCAGTATTGGCATCTCATCCAGATCCATACACCTCACTAATTACAAAACTATCCAACCTTAAAAGTCATCTGTGGGGCTGGCTGGATGGCTCAGTTGGTTAGAGCAAGAGCTCTGAGCAACAGGATGGCCGGTTTGATTCCCACATGGGCCAGTGAGCTGCGCCCACGCTGAGCTGCGGCTGAGCTGCCATCCAGCCAGATGGCTCAGCTGGCGAGAGCGCATGCCCTTAACAACAAGCTTGCTGATTCAACTCCCGCATGGAATGGTGAGCTGTGCGGTGCCCCCACCCCCCTCCCCCCTGCAACTAGATTGAAAACGGCAAAACCGCAACTGGACTTGGAGCTGAGCTTGTGCCCTCCACAACTAAGACTTAGGGACAACAACTTGACTTGGAGATGATGGGTCCCAGAAAAACACAATGTTCCCCTTCCCCAATTATCCAACACTGTTCCCTTCCCCAATTTCCCCAATAAAACCTTTAAAAAAAAAGTCATCTGTGAATTAGCACAGTTATACAAGTATTCCATGAGAACAAAAATGTGACTTTGAAACACCCAGTAATAGAAATTTCTGATTGTACATTGCTTCTCTATCCTGTAATTCACCCAAAGTCCTACCTCTCCCCTCTTCCCTCAACAATCATCCCGCAACAAAGCTGTCCTTGGCCAGTGCGCCCCCTGCTGGCCAGTGAGGGGAAATAACTGATCCAAGACCTCACCACCTCCTTGATTTTCTTCAAGGTAACTGTGCACACAACCTGCTCCTCCCTTTCCTCTTTCAACATTCACAGCTCTGTTAAACCTCTCAGATGATGCCTTCTAACATATTTGCCTCCACAGTCTTTAGTCGCTTTCTTTCTTCTAGTTATCAAATAATTAAGAGAAACAAAAGAATATTGGCAGCACGTTAGACAAGTATCAGATCATGAGCGTTCAACAAAATTTGGTATAACCATATAATAAATTTAACAAAATCAATCCACCACATATTTGAAATGATGCCTATTACTATGTTTGTACTACATGAAATAAGGCATAAATAATAATTGATCATAATAAGTTATAGTATGTATATACAAATTGAGTATTTCTGGGATTTAGTTGGAAACAAAAGCGGAAACCATGAACAATAAACAATTTGGGAGTTTCTCCAAGGACTCCTGGCTGCAAAACTGAACAGGCCCTGGGAGACTGGATTTTTCCAGAGCTTAGAATAAAAGGCACTTCGGATTTTGAGCACATTTTCCCCCTAGGTATTTTATGAGTTTGGCGGTGATTGGTTGTTGCTCCCACTGCAAAGACCATTCTTGAGAAAGCTGTGCAGATGATGTTGGTGGTGGGGTGGGGGGAGGGGGAGAGATTTCTATATTACAGGCTAAAACATTGGCAGTTTGGAATGGGTGCAGATTAAGGCATGGAACCCCTTCCAGGAGAGCAGAGCTGGGTGAGGGGCAGTGACAGAAGAGGGGAGGGCTGCAACAGCTGAACTAGGACACCCTGGGTGGCAGCTTCCCTCTCCACCCCTCCCCCCACACACACACACATACACACCAACTCGCTGTAAGTCTCTCCAAGCACGCGTTCAGCAGAAGACAGAATTATTAGGCTTTCCACAGCCTAACTGAATTTCTCACCATGGGGACGAAAATGTTGACGTCAACCTTTCCGTAATTGCTCTTTGCCCTGAAAGTGAAACAGAACAAAACTTGAGCTCTGGAACTTCTGAGAAAATGACCAGCATCTTTTCTGCGCTAGGCTTGGCCCCCATGGAAGTCAGCATGGTTGGCCCCACCAAAATTCTTTGGCAACTCGGATTTTGTCTTGAAAAGCTTGTACTCAGAAAATAGGTGGCGAGGGAGTCAGAACGTTGGAAAGTGACAGGAAGAGGCTCTCTTGGGTTCCAGGCCTCTTCCAGGAGCAGGTCCAGTCCTGAGGGTGCTCAGGCTCAGAATCATCCTCAAGGCGTGGGGACTTCCATTGACCCACAGACCCTAGGGGGTTTGGGTAAGACAAAAAGCATTCAAATGGTGCCTCACCTCAATGCTTGAGTTGTGCTGCTTGTTCATTTCTACAATAGCACTTTTCCTTGCTGTGAACAACCTCATGGATTGTAAAATGGAGGTGTGTACACAATGTTATGGGCACAAAGGAGGGAGCATCACAGAGAGAGTGACATTAGAGTTGAGCCCTGATTTATGGAGAAGAGCTCCTGGGGGGGGGGAGGGAAGGAAGGAAGGAAGGAAAGAAAGAAGGATGGGAGGAAATTATAATACCAATTATAATAGCTAAAATTTATATAACACTATGGTTCAGGTGGTATTCTAAGTGCTTTCACATATTAATTTATTCAATTTTTGTAATAACCCTAAGAGGTAGATACTATTAATATTCCCACTTTACACATGCGGCAATTGAAGGTTACTTAACCAGAGAGGTTAAGTAACTTGCCCTAGGTCACACAGCTAATAAGTGGCAGAGTCAGGATTTGCATCTACTCTGCCCAGGGTCTGTGCTCTTAACCACTCAGGGAATGTGGGTGTGGGCTGAATAGGGGGAAATTCACTCCAGTCATGTGAGCAGCCTTGGCCATGTGAAGCAGAGAGGTTGCTCAGAGAATCCAGCATGGCCCAGACACTCTAGATTATGGGGGAAATGGTAGCAGTTCAGTGAAGTCTAAATATATTTGAAAATTTGTGAGATTATGTCTGATGTAAATCATGGCATAAGAAAATGTTGTATTTTTCCATTTTTAATATCAAAGGTAAAAATAATTGAACTTATGTTAAAAAGGAACAAAAACACCTAAACAGCCCATGAAAAGATAAAAAGGTAGATAATACATCAAACATGAATAGTGAAAAAAATACATCTAGAGAAAAATGGAAGACATATTTTTGTTCTTTAGTATTTTCTAAATTTGTAATCAGAAAATATGTATGTAAAATAAATGTCCTTAGCACAATAAAATATATATGTATATGAGTGTATGTGTATATTATACTCACACACATACATTTTCAATTTTTAAAGGTCCAGATTGACAATTCTAGTAAACATAATACATACTAGGACATGAAACATTCCAGAAGGTGGCTGAAAAACATTACTATATATTTACTCCAAATTATTATTTTCTGGTGCAAAAATGTATAAACTTTGGTGGAGCTGACATTTTCAAAGTAAATTAAATTGGGGTTCAGGCTGTTTATACTTTAGGCAGCCTTTTTTAAAAGGAAGTACCTTAAATGCTTTAAGCAAAATTCCTCCATCTTCACAGAGATGTTTTATTTTATTTATTTATTTATTTATTTATTTTATTTTAAAGATTTTATTGGGCAATTGTGGGAGGGGAACAGCATTGGGGAATTGGGGAAGGAGAAAAGACAAGTTGCTGTCCTTTTATTCTTCAGTCTAGTTGTGGAGGACGTCGCTTCACTAGCCCATGTTGGTATTATTATCGCACTCTTCCCGGGTGAGGCAGTTGCTCGCCGGCCACTGGACAGCCACTCACGGGGAGCGGAGGGGGGGGGGCTCACGGCAGTTCATAGCAGCTCACAGCAGCCTCCGCTGCAGTGAGTCACCGGGGACTCACGGCATCCCAGCTCCAGGTCGAGCTGATGTTCACCATCTTAGCTGTAAAGGGCACAGCATCACTGGCTCATGTGGGATCCAAACCGGAGGCCCTGCTGCTCAGAGCTCGCACTCCCAAGCTAACTCCCAAGCCGATGAGCCACTCGGCCAGCCCTGAGATGTTTTATTAAAAGCCTGAAAAATGTATGCTCACAGTCAGAAGAGTGCAGGGCTGTTTAAATGAGATTCATGTGAAAGAGAAACTGGTGTTCTTCATTCCCTCAGCCTTTTCTGAGGGCACAGATAGGACGTGCGACTGTTCCAGAATAATTGAGACAATTTTATTGTTGGGACGGTTCTTGGATTTTCATTATTGTGCAGGGGGTCCTCAAAATTTCAGGGCCCCCGATTAAATCTATTTCAACTAGATCACGTCTATCATTTTAGAGATGGCATCGATTAACAGTAATTATCACCACGATAACACCACATGCTCAGAGGGCACTTTCACGAGAACCCTCTCGCTGAAGGCAGGGGAGGACGAAGGGCAGGCAGGGAACAGGGTAAGGTCCTGAGTCCTTTTGCAACTGCTGAGCCTTCTGCCAGGAGTCATACTTTCCCTTCCCAGTCTGCATTCTGTCATCATCACCCCAAAATGCCTTCTGGGTAAGGGTGGCTCAAACATTGTTGGTGACATCAGTTCCAAAGCGGGAAATGACATGTGGCAGGAGAATGTTGGCTCCCTTCCCTATCACCCTGCCCAACAAAGAGAAATGGAGGAAAGGAGAGTGGGGGGGACCACCTTCCCCCCAAAGCTCATCAGAAGCCTATCCCAGGGAAGGAGAGGATCAGCTGGCCTCATTTCCTCCTGCTATTACCTGCATGGGTACAGATAACAGCACTGCTGGATGATGACCTGGTGGCTGGAATGCCCACATGGTGGAGGAAGACAGAGCTCACAGTCTCAGATGAGTCACTGTAGGTGGGGCAGGTATTATTTAAAAATCTGCCTGTGTGCGTCTCTGATTATACACTAACAGACATCAGGGGTGGGTGCTGGGGGAGGAGCAGGCAAACGAGTAAACAGGTTGGGGTGTGTATTGGGTGGCAGGAGGAGGCTGCCTTGGGAAGAACATTTGCTGCCAGTAGTCCACAGAGCAGGTGGTCCTCAGGTGGCTGGGCGGCGGCAATAAATGCTGTCACTTACTTATTGACTGCACATATACTCAAGGTCCAGTTCACAGACACTGTCTCTTCATGATGGAATAAAGACAGAGTTCCATATTTCAGATATGGTAACAGAAGCTCTGAGAAGTTAGGTGACTTACTTCCATGACTAACCAGGATGCAGCAGAGTGGGCATACTCTATGAGGGTGATCTCACCCTCCAAAGGTAGGGAAATGCCCACCTGTTAGAGTCCCCATGTCCCCAATGTCATCCCTTCCAGGTCTCATCCTCTGCTCCTTTTTGGCCCCAAATTCCCACTGTGAACGAAACATCAAAGGCTAAGAGGCAATTATCTCCAGAATATCTCCGTGGAACTGTGTAATCAGAGAACTCACCCCGGAGCAGGACCATTCTATGGAGAGGTTCTGGAAGACTCCAGCTGACCATGAAGAGCCCAAGATATGGGAGCTGTTCATAAAGGTGGGGAGCAGGTGGAGGCCTAGGCCTAGGAACCTGGGAACAGCACCAGTGGGGATGGGCTGTACAGGGGGCCCCAGCTGCGTGGGGAGGAGAGAGAAGAGGAGAAAGTCTAGGAAAGTCATCCTACCCTGAAAGGAGGCCCCAGGTGCCAGCTTGCATGCTGGGGGGACCCCAAAGGGCCAGCTTCCTAAAGCAGGGGTGATAAAGCCATGATTTTGCCCTTCTACCTCTGATATATGCCCACTATTAACATGACAAATAAGCTTAGTATTTATGATAGCATCACTTTGAGTTTTATGGGGCATTTCTGCTCCTTAAACTTGACCCGATTTCATATAGCGCTTGTCATTTCCTATTCACAAAGCTGGCCACGGGTGACCTATAATTATCATCATTTTATAGCTGGAGAAACTGGCCCCAGAGAGGAAAAGGAGGATGTGCTGGGAAACAAAAAAGTAGTCCCGGGTGCTTGCTCACCTAGCCCACTGTTAAGATCATCTTGGAGAAGAATTAAGTTTGAATCTTACCTCACCCTGACCAAGCCTTTAAAACTCACCTGGGCTTTCTCGTTGCAGGTGCAAGATCCAGGTGCTTGCACTCACTAGCTTTGTGGCCAACCCTTTCAGCCTCCTTTCCGAGCTGTGAATTGGGACAGTAATAATGTTTGCTCTAGACCAGTGCTGTTCAATAGGTAATTTAAAATTTTCTAGCAGTCACCACTAGTCTAGAAGACATTTTAAAAGTTAACAGAAACGAGTGAAATTAATCTCAAAAATATACCCAAGATATTATTTTGACATGTAATCAATTTACAAACTCAGTAATGGAATAAATAATTCTCATTCCTTATTGAATCCATGGAATCCTCTGAGTATTTCACACTTAAGGCAGATCTCAATTCAGACTACTACCCACATTGTCAGCTGTTCCATAGTCACATGTGACGGGTGGCGACGGAACTGGACTGCCCAGCTCTATAAGGTTGCTGTGAGGATTAGTTGACATAATGTGTCTAAGACACACGCATTTTGGCTGACGCGTGGCTATTATATTCATATTCATCGCCCCTCCCTGACACACACGCACGCAGAATTTTCCACATTTAAGTGGCTTATAGGGACCCAAGACCCAAAGCAGATGTGAGACAAATCCAGCACCGAGTCCCTTTTCCTAGCCCCTCCCAAACGGACCATCTTCCTTACATGTAGAAGCGAAAAGTCGACCCCCTCGCCAGCCTCGCTTTCCCTGAAGTAAGCTACCTGCCATCAATTCTCTTCGGGGAACACCCCACTCCCCATCTGCAGCCCCTCCCGATGTTCATACTCGGCTCTAATTCCCATCCGGAATAGAAAGAGAGCGAAGCTGGAAATCCAGGACCCTCACCAGGATGCTTGAAACCTTAGCGAACAGCTGTAGTAGACCCCACTGAAAATTCTGGGCTCCCTACTCCAAAAGGACGCTCGATGCCTCTCGCCCTCCCCCGGGAGGCGAGGACCCTGTTTGGAAGCAGCCTCTCCCCTGGTCCCTGGACCCCAGGTCTCCAGCCCCCTTTGGGGATCAAGAGTGGACGCGGTGGGGTGGGGATGCGACATTCCTGTGCAGGATCCCGCAGCTGGCTTGGGTCGGAGGCCGCGGGATGCCGGGGCTGGGCGCCCTCCGTGGTCCCAGCGGGCGCGGCGACCGGTCGAAGCGCCCCCGCACCTCGCACCGCGCCCCGGCTCCCTCTCGCGGTGCCGCAGTCCCGGGCGCACCGCCCCCCTCAGCTCCGCCCGCCATTACGTCACCGCGAGCCCGGCGGGTCAGTTCATATAAAAAGCGGAGCCGATGGGCGGCGACAAGTCTCAGAGCTCCGAAGTGTGCCGGTTCGCGCCGCGCGCACAGTTTCGAGGGACAGCGCCTCCACCGCTCTGCAGCCGGCACCATGCGCGAGATAGTGCACATCCAAGCGGGCCAGTGCGGCAACCAGATCGGCGCCAAGGTGGGCGCGCCCGGGGAAGGCGCCGGGAGGGGGCGGCGAGCCCCTAAAGTGTGGGCCGGGTCCGGGGTGGGCGCAGCGGGTCCCAAGGGTGCGGGCCAGGACCGGGGGTAAGCGACGGCGGCGGCGGCGGCCCGCCTGCTTGGCTGGCGCATTCTCTGCGCGGCAGCCGGGCGGGGCCCAGAAACCCACACAACCTTCCACGATAAGCGCAGCGACGCAGCTGAATGTGCCTTTAATCAGGTCCTTTGAAAGTTCGTAGGGAACCAGCCCTTCTGCGGTATGTAGTGGGCATTTCTCTGGGTGTATTAGCCCATGAAATTTGGATAGAATCTGCGGTCATATTAATACAGTGGCCTCACGTAGAATTTAACTTGGATATTTTTGTCAATAGTTTGAATGAACAAAATGCAGTGTCACGGAGGTGACAGATGTTACAGAGACTAATCTACTTCCTTGGGCTACAAAACAAGGATGTTAGATAATTTCTAATACGAGCACCATCCCGACATGACATATAATGCCAGTCTGGCTTCCTGTCTGCCAGGCGGCAGGTGATGGCATTGGGGCTGCAATTACCGACAGCAGTGGGAGAAGCAGGAGCGGGCATGGTGCATGAGTGTGGGCGGGCATCCGAACAAGGACGTGGTCTCTGTTGGAACCGCCATATTGCCCACCCCAACCTCCCCACCCCCTTTCCTGCTGCAAATTCACAATGGAGTCTGCGCCCTCACCAAGGCCAGCTCCATTCACTGCCCCAGTTGTGCTCCCAGGCTCCTGCGGGCCCTTACCCCTCACCGTCCCCTGCTGTGCTCAGTGGCCAGGGGCCAGGATGGATGTCAGTGGCATAAAACTGCGCTGCTTGGAGGGCTGGGTGGGGTGTGTGCCAGATGACACTGATTCCTAAGGCAGCCACAGGGGGAGAGCCTCAGTCCTGCCAGGACCCATCCATCAGCTGGGATGCTGCAACATCAGCCCTGCCTGGGGGTGACAGCCTCCCCAACATCCATGGCTTCCCCAGAAGGAGATGTGCTGTGGCCACCTTTCTCCCTCAGTGCCCCTCCCCGCTTTTCAGTCCTGTTGCTGTAATATGGCTGCTGCTCTGCGGATTTCCAAGCCCCTCAGCAGCAGCTGCTGGAGGAATAGAGACGCACAGCTATCTGGTCTGTCTAGCACTCCTTAGCTGTCTGACCACAATGGCCACTCTTCCAAGGACACGAGAGGAAGAAGAGGGCCATCCTTCCTGATATTCAGGATGCTAGGCCATCGTGTGATTTCTTTTTTTTTTTTTTTAATTTCCAGTTTTGGGAGGTCATCAGTGATGAGCATGGGATCGACCCCACTGGCAGTTACCATGGAGACAGTGATTTGCAGCTGGAGAGAATCAATGTGTACTACAATGAAGCTGCTGGTAATTATTTGCATGTGGTTTGCTTTCCAATCAGCCTTGCTTTCCATACTGTGGCAGATGCAATGTACTAGAAACATGCAAATGATAAAGAAATGCTTCTTGCATTCATTTTAAATGTCAACTGCTAAAAAAATACACTTTATGGTTCCTCAGGACTCCTGCATGTTCGCCATGACTAAGCATGTTCATTATCTCCTTTTTAAAGCAGAAAAGCTCCCCAATTCTCATACTTGAGTCTCGCGTGCTGGAATTTTCTCTAATGAATTCTGCTGTGAAAGGTGCATAGAGTACTACCCCGTCTGCTTCCTTTGCCAACCACAAGCCTAAGTCCAGATCTGTTTCCTGCAGGTAACAAATACGTACCTCGGGCCATCCTCGTGGATCTGGAACCAGGCACAATGGACTCAGTCAGGTCTGGACCATTCGGCCAGATCTTCAGGCCCGACAACTTCGTGTTCGGTATGTAGTCATGATCAGTGGGGACTGGCTCAATGAGTCTTCTTCCTCAACACTGTGGAACACAGAGTTCTTAATGTTGAATGGTGAACACTGTGTGACCACAGACAGCCCTGAGTCCTGATCTAACTCCGCCTAGTCCACAGGCAGTAATTCTCTGGACATCTTGAAGGACAGTGTCAGCCTGCAGAGGGCTGCTATAGTCCTCCTACTACAGAGCAGCCTGTGAAGGGTAAAGAATAAAGGCAAGGAAAAAGCTTCAAACAGGAGTTAATAGGCTACTGGTAATTTCAGAGGACCACTGACAACAAGTAACCACTTCAAGAAGCAAAGGCCAAAGGCACAGGTTATGACTGGAAGTGAGACAGCTGCTTAGAGCCTGTGTTCTCTTCTGATCTCACTGTGCCTTTGCCCTTGCCTATAAATTGGATCTAATTTAAGTATTTACAGAATGTTCTCTGTTCTTAATTTTAAAAGCACTTGGGATTTCTTAAGCCATCTTTTTGTTCAATTAATAACCTCATTTGAACTAAACTTGCTTTTTTTATTGTGATCTTGTGTTTTTTTGAGTGTCACTGATATAGAAAATTTTTCTGTAGGTAGGAAAAGGAACTAAAAGAGTAGAATCTGCAACTCCAAGATTGGTTCAGAGTCAGAATGACACAATTTGGAATTCCTTATGCTTTGGTGTCTAATATTCTTTTTTCCATCCTGCAGGCCAGAGCGGGGCGGGGAACAACTGGGCAAAGGGCCACTACACAGAGGGAGCTGAATTGGTGGACTCAGTCCTGGACGTGGTGAGGAAGGAATCAGAGAGCTGTGACTGTCTGCAGGGCTTCCAGCTGACCCACTCGCTGGGGGGCGGCACGGGGTCCGGGATGGGCACGCTGCTCATCAGCAAGATCCGGGAAGAGTATCCCGACCGCATCATGAACACCTTCAGTGTGATGCCCTCGCCCAAGGTGTCCGACACAGTGGTCGAGCCCTACAACGCCACCCTCTCCGTCCACCAGCTGGTAGAAAACACAGACGAAACCTATTGCATCGACAACGAGGCGCTGTACGACATCTGCTTTCGCACCCTGAAACTGACCACCCCCACGTACGGAGACCTCAACCACCTGGTGTCGGCCACCATGAGCGGGGTCACCACCTGCCTGCGCTTCCCGGGCCAGCTGAACGCAGACCTGCGCAAGCTGGCCGTGAACATGGTGCCGTTCCCGCGCCTGCACTTCTTCATGCCCGGCTTCGCGCCCCTGACCAGCCGGGGCAGCCAGCAGTACCGCGCCCTGACGGTGCCCGAGCTCACGCAGCAGATGTTCGACTCCAAGAACATGATGGCCGCCTGCGACCCCCGCCACGGCCGCTACCTGACGGTGGCCGCCATCTTCCGGGGCCGCATGTCCATGAAGGAGGTGGACGAGCAGATGCTCAACGTGCAGAACAAGAACAGCAGCTACTTCGTGGAGTGGATCCCCAACAACGTGAAGACGGCCGTGTGCGACATCCCGCCGCGCGGCCTGAAGATGGCGGCCACCTTCATCGGCAACAGCACCGCCATCCAGGAGCTGTTCAAGCGCATCTCGGAGCAGTTCACGGCCATGTTCCGGCGCAAGGCCTTCCTGCACTGGTACACGGGCGAGGGCATGGACGAGATGGAGTTCACCGAGGCGGAGAGCAACATGAACGACCTGGTGTCTGAGTACCAGCAGTACCAGGACGCCACTGCCGACGAGCAGGGCGAGTTCGAGGAGGAGGAAGGCGAGGACGAGGCTTAAGAACTTTTCACATACATAGTGCATCCTTAGTGAACTTCTGTTGTCCTCAATCAAGCATGGTCTTTCTATTTGTATACTATGGTGCTCAGTTTTGCCTCTGTCAGAAATTCACACCATTGATGTAGTAGTGTGGAACTCCTCTAAAAATTACAGTATTGTCTAAGATATCTATATTAATTAAAAAGCATGTGTCCAAATCCTTGTGGTCTCTTTATTATTCCACTGAATACTTCCTGAATATCTTTCTGGGTTTAGAAATTTTTAACAGAATTTCTAAATGTTTTAATTAATACCCTTTCTGCTATTTTAGTAATGAGACATAAACAGACATACTTTTTTCATCTTCACTGCCCCAAAGTATTAGTAAAGGAATCCAGTAAACATAAGAGAGTAAGGATTTGAGGATAAAGCAAACTTCCTTCCCTTTGCTGTAGTTAGAGCAACCCTGTGAAAATGTAGACTTGAGGACCTTCTATTTCTTTACTTTCATTGAATGTGATAAATACAAATAAAAAGACCAGTGAATGCTGTACCTCTCAGGTAAAAGATGTATCATAAATTCAAAGTGCCTTGAAACAGCAGTCATGAACGCTACAAATGCTTCATCTAAGATTTATTTGCAAGTAAAGGAAATCATGATAGGAATTTACTTTTTAAGAAATGGTAGAAATTCACAGCTTAATGTTAAAAAATAAGATTTAATTTTCTTAGCTATTAAAGCTAGAGAATGTTTTTAATATGTCATCATTCATATTGGATTATCAGCAGTTACATGGAGGAGTAGAAAGCCTGGAAGGCAGGTGACCAGAGGTGCGACACGGGTGGATTTCAAAGACAACAGGCTAAAGCCCCCACGCTCAAGAATCACCAGGTCATGTTCTCAGAGACATTTTCATTGTAAAAAGTCTTCTGCTAATTTGTTGAATTCATTTGCAAAACGTAAATGCAGGTTGTGCTTGCCTTCTGGCATCAGATGCAACCTAAAAAGAAAAAGTTTATGATTAATGGCATGCCATTAAAACCTCTTACTCTCCCTAACATTTCATGAAAATCTCAAGGGAAAGAAAACCTGCCACTTTTTTTTCTTTTTCATGACTGTTATTGGGGAGAAAATATAAGGTACATAGTATAAACTTTCTGTGAATATAGACTTGAGTGAAAGCCTCCTGGAGTTGACTGAGTACCCTGGAGGTTGATTTGATAGTAACAGAGCACACACATTGTATCTGGAATTGTATCATGTAACAAATGGTTTGTTTAAGTATAAACCTGATTGATAGTGGGGGATATGATTTGGTGGTTACCTAAAAAAAAAGAAAAAACATTTTAACAAGGTTGATTTTAAGAGGTTGGAAGGATGATACAATACAAACAGTCCAGAATCCATTGATTGGAACAGGTGAGCTTCTTGGGGCATCTATGTAGTGGGAAAACACAAATCAATTCAGCTACCATTGGCCTGTTGTTCAAGGTTCCAAATCACCATTATTTTTGGAGGATTGAAAAACTCTAAATAGAAGCCACTAGACAAGGGCAAGTAAGTGTTCTTTAGGACTGTGTGGACGGCAGGAGCCTGCACCAGCAACCCTTTGCTCTGCAGCTATCACTACATGTCTTCTGTGGCAAACTTCACTGTCCAAGTAAGGCTGCTTCCTCTCAATAGGGTTTTGGTCCAATGTGACTGGTTTGCAATTTATTCAGTAAAGGCAGCTTTCTCTGAGTTCTGCACTTTATTTACTGGCTATAAAAGTGCAGAAATAAAAGTTTTAAACAAAGCTTCTAGGACATAAGTGCAAGTTTGAGCTGTTTTGTCCACAAAGACAAGACATTAAAAGGACTATATGGGGGGGTGGGGGGGGGGACCGGTTAGCTCAGTTGGTTACAGCGTGGTGCTAATAACACCAAGGTTGCCAGTTTGATCCCCACATGGGCCACTGTGAGCTGCGCCCTCCAAAAAAAAAGGACTATATTGGGGCAAAATGCCAGTCACCACATTGACTAATTCTCTGATCTTTCACCACCTGGGGGTTGAGAGCTCTGAGGACTTCGGTGAGCAGTAAGGAGAACTTGTGGGGAAAGGGAGCTAGGGAACAGAGCTGTCCTTGGATGATGTCAGACCTCTTGCAACTCAAGCACATGGTCTAGGGGTGCTGAGATAATCAAGATAATCTACTTGAAAGGAGGATATATTATTGGCATCTTTCTGAAGCTCTTGGGAAAGTTAATAATGCCATTTATAGTAATGCGAATATTCCAAATTCAATTTTAATGCTATTCAGAAAAGAAGGGCAAGCTGTACCAACCCCAAAGATGGGATCCCAGTTGCCCTACACAAGGAACAGGGCTTGTGGGATGCTCAAGGCCTGTTTTTAGGAGACAGAACCAACTGCCAAGGATGCTGAAAGGTCACAGAAGGGTAGGCACACCTAGGCAAAACTGCGTGCTCTGATATGCACTAAGCTGGATTTGGAAGCAGAGACCCCAATCTGCCCACCTTGCAAGTCCTCCTTTGTGGATAGTCACGCTGGTTATCATGTGCCCCACCCCATTTCTACGATTGGTTCAGACTCCCAATAAGGAAGGAGAAACACCAGCTGACAATCCCTTGTTTTTTAGCTTCAGTGTTGACTGCATTCTTCCTATAGTAATCTCTAGGTCTGAGGGAAATAAAAACAAGGCCTCCTTCATTTAAAACATGGGAGACCTGTTCTGAGGCATCTACATTCAGAACTGCACTGAATTATGATGGATGGACAGATGGATGAGGGTATGAAGAAAATGGCTCTTCTCCTTGATACATTTTGAGGGTCATTTGAAGGTCACTAAAAGCCGACTGTGTATTAGTCTTTGAGAACACAACCACACTAGATTATACAGCTGTCAAAGTAATGTAGCAATTCTATAGCTGACCTAGAATCCCACCCAAGTAACAAGGATCTAATCGCAAGCCCCATGGAGAGTGGTTTTCAAACATCACATTTCCCAGGAACATTAGTAGGAAATCCCCCCACTGCCAAACACATGGGTTCAACTAGGAATGAAGGGGCCTCCGAGAAGGTAAATGCAAGTTCCTTTTTGCCAGCGCAGGCTCCTCTTTGCATCTGGCACCTTTAGAACAAGAGATGTGACGCTAGATCTTTTGAGAAATTAAAAAGTCTGAACTCACAGTATAAATTCAGTGGTCACTTTACTTGTGCTTGATACAGTCCTTCTAGTATCTCACTGCCTATGGGCAAGGTAGCAAAGGAGAAATGATGTCACCTTCTTTTCTTCAGTGTAACCTCCAGCTTTGAAATTAAGCTCTGAGAACGACAGATAGGATAAGTAATGTGCTGTAGCATTTTTTTCTCCTCTTTGGATGTGACTGAACTCTAAATTATTGACGAACCCATGAAGTTGCCAGTAAGTCTGTGAGTATTTTCATTTTAATTGAAAACCAAAGTAGGCTGCTGGTTCTTTGTACCAGCATCTCTTCCATTATGAAAAATGGACAGCAATGTGGCTAACAGGGACATTGTCACTTTCAGGCAATCCTATCAAGGCCATCCAAACCTGGTTGCCAACAACAGCCCCATTTTATTCTTTATCGTCTGCTCTTCTAGAAAGGCCCATCTAAGAAAGAGGTGATGATGGGTAGGCCACAATCTCCTTCCAGTGGCCAGGGTAGGGGTAGAGGACATGATGGGCAGGCTGTCCCCCCTCAGCCCAAGAGATGATCAGGCATTTGGTAAGGTGGTGGTGGGGGAGCAGACCCTTTACTGAGAAGTTCCTTTTCTCAAATGGAACCATGCCTTAAGCATTAGAAAGAAACAAAACTGCCTCAGAGGCTGCTTTTCCAGTAATGCTACAGCTTGGAGTGGACTCCCTGGCTGTCAGGGCCTGCTGGATCGGTGCTTTCAAGTGGTGTGTAGAGAAGAAATTCTTGCTAAACCTGCTGGGACTACAAGGACCTAGTCGAGGCCTTCTGACTGGACTGGAAACTTTCTTCTGGTCACAGCTGAATATAAGTGGAAGTGATATCACAGGGTTAAAGGCACGGGCTTTACGGAGTCAAGACATGTCCAATCTAACCAGCATGAGATCTATGCTAAGTTATATCACCTCCCTAAGCTACAGTTTCTCATCTGCAAAGTGGGGATAGTAATAGTATGTACCCCACAGGAAGGTTCTGAAGATAAAATGAGATAACACATGTAAGGCACACGGCACAGGGTCACTGGGAAGACAGTTAACAGTTAATAAACATTTGCTATTATTCTATTATTCTGTTTATATTGCACTTTACAACGTACAAAGTCCTTATAAAGATTCTAATTATGTACAGCATATTAATGAAATTATGTGATTGAGAGCACAACTTATTTACATTTAGTGGCTAACACAATCAACTCCAATCGGCAGATTCTTACCTCAAGAGAGATTTTACAAAATGTCATGGGTAAGATTTGTCTAGAAAGGATGCAACCCCACTCCCTCTGAAATACAAAGGACTCAGCTTCGTAAGGACTAGGCTAATCCTGTAGCCCAGCCAGAGTGAGTCTTGGGCTGACTGCTTTCCCTTCAACTGCAGCAGCAAGCAGGCAGAGTGAGGAACTAGCAGCAGCACCTGGGAGGCTGAGGGGGTGGGAGAGGCACGGCATACCCCCCAGGCTGGAGGTGGTCTAGAAGTGGAAACTGAGGCAGCCGTCCAACTTTCAGTGTCTACCTACTCCCAGAAACCTGGCTCACTTGACAACAGAGCTGGAAATGAACCTTTGTCAACAGCATGGAATCTTTTTTACCTAGGCCAATTCACTTCACTCCTGCTAGTGGTGTGGCTCCTGCTGGCCTGCTTGGAGGCTGGGGCTCTTACCACAGGTGGCCAGGCCTGAAGAGCCCAGAAGCTACAGAGACACCTTTCCTCCCTTCTGTGATTCAGACAGAGGACAGCATCTAGCCCACTACCTAGGTAGCCCAGGCAGCCGGCTTGCACACCTTCCCACGAACCCACCATAAGGCCACGACCTCTGCAGAGAGCAGCACATGCCCATCACCGTCCCCCATTGTGATGGTTGGTTTAATGTGTCAACTTGACTGGTTGCCCAGATATTTGGTCAAACATCATTCTGGGTATTTCTGTGAGGGTTTTTGGTTGAGACTGACATTCGAATCAGCAGGCTTGAGTAAAGCAGATTGCCCTCCCCTGTGCAGGTGGGCCATGTTCAATCAGAAACATATCATTATGGGCTGAACTGCACCCCCCCCCCCCCAAAATGTGTATGTTGAAATCCTAACCCCCAGTACCTCAGAGTGTGACCTTATTTGATATAGGTTTTTAAGGAGGTGATTAAGTTAAAATGAGGTCATTAGGGTGGGCCCTAATGCAATATGACTGGTGTCCTTATGAGAAGAGGAGGTTAGGACACAGATGCACAGAGAGGAAAGGCCATGTGAGGACACAGGGAGAAGGCGGCCATCTATAAGCCAAGGAGAGAGGCCTCAGGAGAAACCAACACCTTGATTTCAGACTTCCAGCTTTCAGTTAATATAGTTCTATTATTTAAGTCACCCAGTCTGTGGTGTTTGTTATAGCAGCCCTCGCAGATTAATACACACAGCTAAGGACACATATGGCCCAACAAGCTGTGTAGTCATATCCTCTTCTGAGACGGCTGAGCCTCGCTGCCTCCCAGGCCCCATCCACCGCAACCTCAAAGAGTCTGCTGGGTGCCAACCTCTGCTCAATGCAGAGTCTCTGAAAATGAGTTGGGGATGGCCTCACGGGTAATGCATGTCTGGTAACAGGAGACACCCAAGCAGAGGCTGACTGGCTAGACAGATGGTGAGTGACATCAGTGCTTTTTAGTCTAAGAGGGAGGGCTGGACCCACAGGAGATGCACAGGGGCTGGGTCAGGACAAGGAGAATCAAAGGGGCAGGGTCTGCTCCCCATCACTGTTGTAATCACAGCAGCTCTTATTTTGTTTATATCTGCGACTTCTACATAAGAATTTGTTAGGAGGAAGGGTTCAACTGCCTAAAAACAAATTTTAAAACCAGTGAACTTGAATGATCTCTGAAGCCTCTTTGCTTCCAACAGATTCTGTCTTTCTTCTCCCACAAAGAAAGAAAAGAGACAAATCCACATGAGCAGGAAGCATGCCTGCTACACAACCCCACCCTTCATTAGCCTCCTTCTGAGGAGGCTAATGATATCTATCTGTTGGTAAAATCTTTGAAGGGATAGACTGTGTCTTTAGTTATAAATGTATCTGGAAGGTAATGAAACACCAAGTTCATTTCATTGGAGCTTGCTTGCTTTCCTGTTGTCAAGTGGTATGGTGTACAGAATCACAGTATGACTGATAACTCAAGGAATCCATCTTCCTTTTGTGGAATCCAAAATAAACCACCCTGTTCTCGGTAAGTTCATACCTAGAACCACCCTATTCTAGGTAAGTTTCAGCAGAGGAACGTAATGGGTGTCAAGTGCAAGCCAGTTTAGACAATCATTGCTAGTAACACTTTACCTTCAACTGATTTGTTCCAAGGAATACTGCTCTAAGAAAATGTCCTTCAATAAAATATTCTACTGAAACAATTAACATCAGAACAGTAAGGGAATATTTTTCTTCCATATTGATATATTCTGTTGCTAGAAGATGGGTTTGGAAAAGAATTCCTACATTAAACTTTCTTACAGACTGACTTTTATTGAACCTGGCTCTCCAAGGGAACACATGCATTTACTATGAGAGTCAGTGTGCAAACACCTGTCATTTTTGAAGCTAAGAAACAATTAACCAGATCAGCAAGTACATAATCCAGGCATCTTACCATTATATTAAAGTAAGAGTATGTTTGGGCCGGCCGAGTGGCACGATGGTTAAGAGCTGGCTTGGGACACCAGAGGGCCCCGGTTCGGATCCCACACGAGGGCCAGTGACACTGCCCTCTACAGCTAAGATGCTGAACAACAGCTCGACCTGGAGATGGGCTGTCATGAGTCACCGGCGACGGCGTAGGCTGAAGTGAAGCTGCAGTGGGTTGCCATGAGCTACCATATGTAGCCAGCAGCCAGCGTGAGCGGCCAGCCGCCGCAGTGAGAGGCCGTCCAGAAGCCAGCAACTGATCTGCCTCGCCCGGGAGGAGTGCAATGATGGTGCCAACTTGGGCCAGTGAAGCAACGTCCTCCACAACTAGACTGAAGGACAGCAACTTGTCTGTTCCCCTTCCCCCAATTCCCCAGCGCTGTTCCCATCCCCCCAATTCCCCAATAAAAATCTTTAAAAAAAAATAAGAGTATGTTTATGAGAGGCAGCTGTGCTGTAGGGGCAAAGCACTCTATTAGGAGAAAAATAGTCTAGAAAAAACAATCTAGGATTTGTCATTTATTAGCTATGCAACCTTGGATGATTATTTAGTATCTCTCATCCTTGATTTTCTCATCTGTAAATGGGGACAATATATTTTTCATAAGGTAGTTGTGAAATATAATTAGATACTGTATATAAAATGTATCTTAAAATATAAACTTCTACATGGATATAGAAATTATACAGGTTTACAGTAACTATATTTTATTGTCGAATAAGAAGCATAGCCCCTGCATTTAAAAGTTCTCTGCGGCCTGGCCGAGTGGCTCAGTTGGTTGGGAGCCTGCTCAAGAGTTTGAGCTCTGACCAACAGTGGTTCGAGTCCTGGCCTGAGCTGAGCAGCTGCTGCGCTGCCAACGGGTAGCAGGATGGCTCAGCTAAAAAAAAAAAAAAAGTTCTCTGAAAAATTTGTTTGTTAAAATATATCATGGAAGAGTAATAGTATGATTAGAAAGTAGTGGAACTGTTTCTGAGTCTGCTGCTTTCACTGCTGAATTGTGGAAGCTCTCCGGACAGGGACAAGCACTGACCACACTGGGCAGTGCTGGCCCACAGCAGGCCATCAGAGATGAGTCTTGGAGGGAAAGGAGAAAAGGAGAGAGGGTGGGAGGGAGGGAGGAAGAAGGGAGGGAGCAAGTGAGGGAAGAAGGGTTTTTTTAGGCCACTAATAAAGCTAATTTCAGAAGAATTCCATAGAATTTCAAAGATGCCCTGGGTAATGACAGACTCGCTGGAATTCATATATGTCTCTCCTGTGTCGGTCAAAGTATTTAAAATATCAATTTCTATTCACTCCATACAAAAATGCATGGGACTGAAGAACAAGATTTCTGCTGACAAGTTTTACAATGTCCTCCGATGTCCAAAGCTGGTTAGCAGAAACAAGAATGCAGAGAACAAGCAACACACACCGTATTTCCCCATGTATAAGACGCACCCTTTTTTGAAAAATTTGGGGTCTAAAAACTGGGTGCATCTTATACAGTGGTTGTAAATTTTTTTTACTCGCATTTCCTGCTTTTTTCACGCTTGTTTTTGCGCTCATACAACCAGTGTATAGGACGCACCCAGTTTTTAGACCCCAAATTTTTCGAAAAAGGTGCATCTTATACATGGGGAAATACATATCTATAGCCACCAACACGGCTTGGAATATGTTGGTATTTTGTGATTCTGAATAACAGGTTTCTCATCTGGTGTGTACATATTTAAAGAGGAAATAACACAAAAAGTTTACAATGCAATTTTAAGTGGGAAAAAAAGCAGGAGTCAGAGTTGAATACAGACTATGATTACTTCTATATTAAAAACACTGGAAAAAAGAAACACAAAAATGCTAATAACGAGAGAATGTAAATGGTGGCAAGCAAAAGGCGATTTGTTTTCTTCTTTTGATTTTACAAATTTCCTTTATTGGTAGGTAGTGCTTTTATAATGATAATAAGAAAATTCCCAAATTACATAAAATTGTTTTAGTTAACAATGAGTCCTATGAATAAATCTAAACTGGCATCAATGTTACAGAACATAGACCACTTGTATTACCACACTGCCTTCCCCGCAATGAGGCATTTATCTGAGAATTTCTTCCCTTCTGATTACTGGTTACCCACAAATCAGGGCTCCTTGTGCTCCATACTTCCATGGTACCCTAAATACAGTGGCACTACTTATTGACATTGGCAAAATGGAGGCAGGGGTACACCCTAAAAACCCCCAACCTTCCTGCTTCTTTTCCTTATTATAGCTTCTCCCATTTCCTGCGGAAGCCTCGGAGACACAGCGTACTGAAGCAGACACTGGACTTACCGGGACCCTTTCACGTGCTTATGTATGAAGTCAGGATGAAAACGAGGGACCAGAGGATCCTTTTCGCCGTGAACAATTAAGGTGGGGCACTGAATCAGGGGCAGCAAGTGCCGACAGATATTACCTGAAAGACAAGTGCAGGGAGAGTCAGCTTTAACGCGAGCGTTCCACATGGTAAGAGAGCTCAGGTGAGTAACGACTCTTTTCGGACGGCAGTGTCCCCATCTGTAAAATGGACTGGATCAGATGGGGTCTGAGGTGCGTTCCCGCTCTAACATTCTTTGGGTTTCCTTTTCTGTTTCTCGGCTGTTTTTTTTTTTTTTCTTTTAAAGCTCTACTAATGAACAAGCAGTTTTTCCTGATTTAAATTTGTAATTCATGTAGAACATTAAGGAAAACACTCCCCCCAACTCCAATTCTTTATATTACATGGAGGCAGTTCCCATCTGCAAAATGATGGTAGATGCTTGGCATCTGCAAAGCTTTTCCTGTGAAATAATGTCTTCAGTGGTCCTCAGAGTCCCAGCCAGCCCTCAAAGCATATATACCTCACAATGACGTTATAATTTATACATGGTAAACAAGCTTCTCTTTGTCCCTCCTGCCTCTATGACATTCCTGATTGATACTTCATCTATAACATTTCTAAGGCAAATAGGACACAGCTGGGCTCCAGTCCTGTCCTGCCCTCTCCCGCCTGTGAAGTCTAGTTGGCTCCTTCACCACTTGGAGCTTCCAGCCTCCTCCTCAGTCAAACAGGAATTAACCATAGTCCCCTGGGGTGGTCACAGGCTAAAAAGAGGTGCTCCCTAGGCAGCTCCTTCCTCCTCCTCCTTCCTTCCTCGGCCCGTGTCAAGAAAAAAGCCTGTAGCTTTGAGAAAGCTAGGAGCCACCCAGGGTTTGGGTTCAGGCACCTGGCCTCTCCCCACTTCTTCAGGTGGGGGCTAAATGAGGTGACAGGCTGAGCAGGGAGGTCTCTGGAACAGTTCTAGGTCTCTGGAACTTCCTTCTCCTGCCCCTGGGATGATCTATACCTGCCAACTGTACACTCAGGTGATTAAAGCTAGTATTACTGAGCACTCACTGATTCAAATTGTTTAATACTCATGAAACACTTGCAGTAGTTACATGTTTTAACTCATTTAGTATGTACCATTATTTGTAAATCAAGTACTTTTATGAAGCACTTACTCTGTACTTGATACTGTACCAAAGCTGAACTTATATAACCTCATTTACTCCTCACAACACCTTTATGAGGTAGTTATTAGTATCCCCAGTTCTCAGACAGAAAACTGCAGCTTAGAGAAGCTAAATCTGCCTGAATCCACTGTAACAACAAGCCAAGTGGCAAAGCCAGAACTGACACCCAGGCCTGTCTGACTAATTGCAAATCTGTGCAATTAATCCCCATGCTAATCTGAGCATCCATAAGCTTGAGTGCACAGCCATGGAGAGGGCTCCTGTTAAATCAATTAGTACAGAAGGGAGATTAGTAGGTTACTAACAATCGTGTTGTAAAATGATTCATACATTGTTAGAGCCTCTATATTATGACATTTCTTTCACTCCCTTTCTCTTTCTTTTATAAAAATAGATTTTATTTTTTAGAGATTTAGGTTTTCAGAAAAATTGAGTGGAAGGTACAGAGATTTCCCATATGTCCCCTGCCCCCCAATATGTACAGCCTCCCCCACTACCAATACTTCCCACCACAGTGAGATATTTTCACGATGGATGAACCTCCACTGACACATCATCACCCCAAATCCACAGTTTACCTTATGGCTCACTCTTGGTTTTGTACATTCTGTGGGTTTGGACAAAAATATAATGTCATGTATCCAGTATGGTCACACAGACCATTTTCACTGCCCTAAAATTCCTCAGTGCGGCTGTTCTAATAGGTAAATAGTGGGATCTTGTTGTGTGACCCATCTTTTAATCAGGTTGTTTTCTTATTGTCAGTATTAAGACTTCTTTGTATATTTGGATAACAGTCCTTTATCAGATAGGTCTTTTGCAAATATTTTCTCCCAGTCTGTGGCTTGTCTTTTCATTCTCTTGACAGTGTCTTTTGCAGAGCAGTTTTAAATTTTAACAAATATAGGACATATTTTTGAACTGCTGATTCAATTCTGCTTCTACCTTTGAGTATTCCTACCCTTTCACTCCTCTCTTCAAGAACACATAAAAGTTTACATTTCAGAAAACTGTCTTCTTTAATGGAGAACAGTCTCAGACATTGTTTTTATATTTTGTTTTGCTGTGTTTTCAGAGCTAAAGGAAACATTTCAAGGACCTGTTTCTATGTAGATACTGCATTTGAACAGGATATATTTGCTGTTTTGAAATTAAATCAAGAAAGTAGCATTTCCAAATGTCCTTCTCATTGTGAATGTTTTGACAGATGACTCATACTGGAAATGATTACTTAAGAGATCAAACTGGTCCTTCAATCACAATGATTTTGTAACTGAATGTACTCCAAGATTAGATCTTAGCTACTTCTTATTCTTTCAGCAATTAAACAAAGAAAAATGAGAGCTTACAAATGTAAATATCTATATAAAATAGACTTTAATTCAGAATTTTTCTTAATGATGTCAATTATTACGGAAATTGGAAATGATGTTAATTTTTCAGATAAAGACAGAGAGATACCTGTCAGGGCTAAAGTCATATAACTTAGTTCTGAAGATGGGAAAAGAACTGACCACTCTCTTCCTCACATTAATGCTGCTGGGGTTAAAGGACATGACAGAAAACCCCTTCTTCTTTGTCCTAGGGTAACATAAATGTGTAAAAAGAAAATAATATGGTATATGTTGCAACTTGTTTGTTTTCTTATTACTCACTCTGGAATTAGAAAATAAAGACTTGAGGCTTACGGAGAATTATTTTGTCATCATACATAAAGGAGAAGGAAAAAATAACAGTCTACTATTAAAGATGCAACAATATAAACCTTTATATATACAATCTGGCTCTAGTTTAAGGCAGATTTAACATACAAGAGCTTGTATTGTATACAATCCGTAGCATCCTCTGTTCATATATCAGTGTGTAAGGATAGTGGGCAAATGCATTAATCCCTGAGGGATTCTGAAACATCAGAGGAGGAACTCAAGCAGCCTCTATAATCAGCAAAGGAACCATTAAATAGTTCATGTAACCTACCATCTGGAAGATGTTTGAACTGTTTTATGCCATCCACCCATTTTTCACAGGTTTTTGCAAGGTAGTCATACCCATATAGGGTTTCTAGAGGCTTTCTTGATTTCTCACTCCATTTAGAAACATCTCGGATACCTGAAAAACAGAAGTGTGGACAAGAATAGGTTTAGTTTCATACTAAAGTTTACCTTTAAATATTTCAAGCACAGTCCAGCTCAGAGCCATTGTATCTGCTGCTCTGTCTGCCTAGAATGTATCCCCAGGTTTCCATGTGGCTCTGTCCACCCTCATTTCATCCAGGTCAGTGAGAACTTCCCTTCCTGACCACCCTTCCTCCACCTACTCTGCTCAGCACTCCACAGTCTAGTCTGTGTCCATGGCTGAGTATCTGTCTCCCCACTAAGATATAAGCCCCAGTGTAAGGGACTTCGCTTTGTTTTGTTCCCCCCACTGCACCCCGAGGGCCTAGCCCAGTGCCTGGTACAATATAGGCACACAATAAATTCTTACCAAGTAAAGGAAACTAGATCTGCATTTAATGCTTTCTGTTAAAGATAAAAGATAAAAGAAGACATTCCTCTAATTAGGGTCATCTGAATAAGAGTGACATTATTTACAAAACAGTTTTTTTCTGAATTGCATTTATGTACACTGAGAAAGATATACAAATTATTTATTCTAATTTCTGCTATTGAAGAACTATGAGTGTAAAAGGCTAACTACTAACTTCAAGCTATACTACAGATGATTCACTATTAGGAAAGGAAGTAATAGCTAAAAAACATCTTTAAAATAAATAAACACATTCAATTAGCCTAATCTTTTCCATATTCTTTAAACACACTGAGATAAAGATTATAATATTCCTGAGCAATTAAATATTGCTTATCTAGAGCTTTTAATACAATGCTCCTGCTACATGATGCTCCTTAAGGAAAACATGACACTGATGATATAAATTCACATTGAGCAATATCCTATACAGTGCTCCAGACAGTGCCAGGCACCTGGCAGACACCCAGCATATACTTAGTGAATGGGAATAATGAAATGGAAAAAAACCTGCTATTTGAAACTACAACTGCCTTCTAAAGAGGGCATATCCTGTTAGAGTGCCTGCTTTTCTTCTGCTGATTGGTTTACATCTGCAGAGGAATGCCCAGCGTGGCATACAGGACTGAGGAGAGCTGAACTGCTCTGCACAAAAGTGAAAAGACTTAAGAGAGGGGTGTAGAGAGGAAACTGAAAATTAAAAGGTGGGAGGAGGGGCCGGCCGAGTGGCGCGTTGGTTAAGAGTTGGCTTGGGACGCCAGCTTTGAGCAGCAGGGCCCCGGTTCGGATCCCACATGTGAGGGCCAGTGACACTGCCCTCTACAGCTAAGATGGTGAACAACAGCTCAACCTGGAGCTGGGCTGTCGCGAATCACCAGCGACAGCGTAGACTGCAGCCTCTGCTGCAGTGGGCTGCATTAAGCTACCGTGAGTGGCTGGCAGCCAGGGTGAGCGGCCAGCAGCTGGTGTGAGCTGCCAAGAGCCGCCGTGAGTGGCCATCCGGAGGCCGGTGACCAATCTGCCTCAGAAGGGAAGAGTGCAATGACAATACCAACATGGGCCAGTGAAGCAGCGTCCTCCACAACTAGACTGAAGAACAAAAGGACAGCAACTTGTCTCTTCCCCTTACCCTGATTCCTCAGCGCTGTTCCCCTCTCCCAATTCCCCAATAAAAAAAAAAATCTTTAAGAAAAAAAAAAAAAGTGGGAGGAGACTTGGGAAGAAGAAAAAGGAGAGTTGGAAGAGGGAAAGTGGAGAGAGGTGCTAGCAAGATGGCATGAAGCTGGCCAGTAAAAAATTCCCTATGGATATTTCAACTTTTGGCTGTGCAGCAGACCACACCCTCAGAAGGGGCCTCTTACGGTGGATCAACTAGCTCTTTCATAATATATAATTTTTGTTGCATTGTTGGAGTTGCAGTAATTAACAGACTAGAGTATGAATGTGTATGAGCATGTGTGTGTGTGTGTGTGTGTGTGTGTGTAAGAAAACCCTGAAAATAGAACAAAGAGTAAGTGGCAAGACTACTCAAAAGGCAGGGTTGTTTTGGGGGAAAATGTAACTATTAGCTGAGGGTGGGTGGTTAGAGGTAAACCTGAAATTCCTGGGTTAAACTGAGATAAAAATGGCCCCAACCTTGTCCACTATAATTGAAAAAAAAAATTTACAATGTCTAAATATGACTTATAAAAAAATCCTCTTAGAAACTAAGAATTTGAGACAACTTTCTTAATCTAATAAAGATTTGCTATGAAAACAACTATCAGAAACGTGTACTTAACAGCAAAATGTTGAAAGCTTTCCTTCTGTGATAAAGAATAAAAGGATGTATTCTGTAATCACTACTATTCATCACTGAATGTGAGTCCCCAACAACACAAAAGTGCAAGAAAAATGAATAAAAGAATATGGATCTTTAAGGAAGAAATAAAACTCATTCTTAAATGAAAAAAAAAAAAAAAAAAAGAAGGCCCCAACCTCATATGATCCTGCAGTTCCCAAGAGTAGCAAATGCAAATCTCCTGAGAAGGAACGCACTCTCAGTTGATGCTCATTGGGTGCTAATTGTTGCCAGATTAACAGTAAGCAAATGTTCGCCCCTTTGAAGATCACTAAACAATCAGAATCTTTCCAAAGCTAATGAAAAAACTAGAAAAGTAGAAAAGAAAGCTTAAGAAATTATGCAGAACACCACATCAAGAGATAAGATGAACAAGAGATAGGGAAGATGGAAAGTCAAGGTCTACCAAGTCCAGTAAGTCCCAGGAGAAGAAGGAAAACGGAGGAGATCCGATATTTGAAAGAAACAGGTGGGAACGTGTTTCAGAAATGATAAAAGATAAGAATCCACAGACAAGAGTCAAATGTAATTCAAATAGTAGAATTAAAAAGAACCTACACTTAGACACAGCAAAGTAAAACAGCAATATATCAAAGAAAAAGAAAATCTGAAAAACAAGCAGAGATAAGACATCACTCCACAGGAAGGAAAATTAGACTGACAAAACTTCTCAACAGCAATTAAGGAAGCAGAAGACAGTGGACTATGTGAGAAAATAACTTTCCATTTATATTTCTGTTCTTAGCCAAACAATCTTTCAAGAATAAGGGTGAAATAATAACATTCTTAAGTAAAAACTGAGTTGATTATTAACAGACCTGCCCTTTAAAAACTTCTAAAGAATCATTTCAGGAAAGAGAAAAGATCTTAGAAGGAATGTCTTGAGATGAAAGAAGGGGAGTAATTGACAAACATGTTGGTAAATGTAAAGACTCAGCAAGCTAATGAGAAAATAAAAAATTGTAACATTTCCTTACATTAAATTAAATAGTGCTGTCAATAAAGAAAGCAAAAGACAAGCCACAAGCTGTGCAACATAACTACTAATACAATTACTAACCAGCAACAGGTTAGTAATTAGGTTATCAAAAAACAAAAAATAACACCCCACCCTCCCTCCTCACCCCCTGAAAATCAATAACATTGAAATAATATTAGAAGTGTTCTAGTCTTGAGTTGCGCAGACAGTCCTTGGGGGTCTGTTGTTACACCTAGTGTATTACATCTATCAACTATTACATAATAAAAATTTAAGAATCATTGAAAAGACATGAATAGTATATAAGAAACCCCAATGGTGCATAAATACATAAAAAATTCTCAACCTTATTAGTAACAGAAAAATGCAAATTTAGACTCCCAATAAGGTACCATTTTACACGCACTTAACTGGCTAGAATTAAGAAGTTTGATAATTCCAAGTTTTTGTTGAGGACGTTAAGTTAAGGAATCTCATATGTTGTTGGTGGAAGTGTAAATTTATTTAGTTGTAAAATAGCTTGTCACTTGTAACAGAGTATATTAATATTCTACAACATGTAGCAATTTCATATGCCCTTGAGAGATACTGCTGCTCATATGCCCTACAGGACATGTACAAGAATGTTCATAACAACACTGGAAATAGATTAACTGTCCATTGACAGAAGAAAGGGAAAATAAAATGCAACATGTTTGCCCAATGGAATATGATACTGAAACATCATGAATCTTACAAATATAATATTTGTGAAAAGTGAGTCACATAAGATGATCTACAGTATGAAATCACTTTGTATATAGCTCAAAAACAAATGATATAAAATATATAACAGTATGTAATAAAAATATATGTTGATTTATAAGATTTATAGGTCTAACATATAATTATATATAATATTAATATACAATATATTTTATACATCTTAAATTTACATATATATATGTAATTTTTACAAAATAAAAAAAGTCCCCTGTGATGGGAAGGCCAAAACCTTTTAAGAGCCAAATTGGCTAATGGTCAATATGAAAATATTTTTCTTGCAAAAATGTAAATTTCTCCAATTGGGACAGCAAGAGACCCTTAAAAAGAATTAACTTAGTTAAAGTAGGCATTTGGAGCAAGAGGTATCTATGGGAATGTAAAATTGGGGCCAAGACTGTTGACTCCCACAGCAAATATTATCTAAACCTCAACGGGCAGGGAAATCCAGCTGTAGCTGGGGCCAAACCAGATGTTCATGTCAAACACTGTGGTTAAGAACACAGGTTTGGAAGTCATACTACCTACATTTGAATCCTAGCTCTTGCACTTACTAGCTCTGTGACCCTGAGCAAGTTCCTTAACCTCTCTGTGCTAGTTTCCTCATCGAAAAAATGAGAATTAAAAAAAACACTCTGGGATTAAAACTAAGTAAGTTAGAAATGAAATGTGCTAACAATAGTGCCTGGCATATAACAAGCACTCAGAAATATTCTCTGTATTTATATATTTACTTCTGTCATTTTTTTCCAAGAAGCCAGTTTACTCCAAAGTATAATTCCCACCAAAAAAATTAAAATTATGATTCATAGTTAAATTCCTAAAATAACCATTCAATCAAACTGTTTGCTGATCCAAAACTACTAATTGCTATCTGAAAACAAACTGAAATATATCTTTTTTTGAGCATATAATTTGTGCTAAACACTGGAATTGTAATAAAGGAAACGTTCATTCATCATTAATTAGTGAGTTAATCCAGGAAGCATTACTTGAAGCCTG